TAGCCAGTATGTTTCTTTGATAATACCGGTGCACTATGACCATCAGGGGGCGGGTCTTTCATGTGCCGTATACTACACAATCTCGGAGATCTTTTCGCATTGTTTTCTTGACTTCGATTGCGGCGAGGCTTTGGTTTCCGCCCAGGTACTTTCTTATCACGTGTCATTCGTACTCGACAACGGTCATCATTCTTCGCCAGCGTGATTGGTGGGTCTTGGTTGTTTGACTGACGGTGATCCATGTTTCACCTGTTATATTTCCCGCAGCTACATGACCATTTACACAAACAGTTTAGAGAGTTGAGTTGCTATTCTAGGAATTACTTAATAAGGCATTAAGTTTATTAGAGTTTTGATCCCGTCTGGACCGGCCGCCGGTACTCGACGTCGAATTGCACAGGCTGCAACAGTTTGTGATGTGCCAGCGTATGAAACACTGCCACCCGCCGACAGGACTGACGATGGTCCGGCAAATGGCATACAAGCAGGCCCCAAATTCCGACTGGCTTTTAGCGAGGATTTCTCTTCTAACCACTGACGAACAGACGTTTAAGCGCAAGGCAAAGGTGGCAGTAGCGGCTTTTAACTTTCGGGCGGACGGGGGCTCACTTTGGCTTAGTCACGAACCAGTGGTTAGGCATTGCGACGTTTTTCTAAGACCCAGCTACGCCCCAGTGGTCTCATCGCTGCTTGTCCGCGACAGCTCATTTGTCGCAGCTAGCCTTCATATCTCGTAGTTCTTCTGGTACTTCAACACCGGGACGCGCCACATGGCCAGCAGTTAAGTAGCAGTAGCTTATATATAACGTTAGTATTACATTTAGCATTAAGCAACCATTGTAACGTATCACTAGTTCTTATGATAAGGACAGTTAAATAAGGGATGCAATTTGAAATGCCATCTCTGAGATTGTTGTTGTTACGCGTCAGTGCGAAGTACGTTATTCTATGGATTCAACATATTATTATTAACAATTTAAACTGGATAATTATTATAATATAAGGTTAATTTAATGCTTTCAGCTACCATTTATTCTTTACAGAACTCATTATGGCTGCATAGCCGCAGAGCTCTATCTATTAAAACCGTATCTACAGATCTTTTGTTATCTATTCGATGATGTGAGTTAAATCCTTTTTAATTTTTGATACCGAATTGATTTTTTTTTGTATGAATATGTGAGTTAAAGGTGAGCTATTTATCAGCGTCAGTAGGCTTACGATGAACATGAAGTCATGTAGCATGTACCAGGGTCAATTACAACGATATCAGGAAAATGCAGATAGTCATTTTCTTTCAATGGCTATCTTAAAAGTTTGAGGAAAGAAGCCATTTAGAAGGTCTAGTACACTATTTTTATCACAACCGGGCGAATGGCAAAAATATCGTCGATATTTCTTTTGATAGCGTAAAAACCTTTGGAAACAGGTGCTGGTGCGTGTCTGTTTCATGAAAATTTTGGCAAGGGTAGGAAAAACTGCCGCTTAAGGTCTCCCCTTTGGATTGTCAAACTTACCTTCGGAGGACAAGTAATTCGCCTGCGCGATGCAAAAGGTTGTTAACTTGATTATAGAATTATAGAATAAAGAATTATGACGGATTAGTACTTTGCTTAAGTGAATTAGAAGTTGCTACAAGAAGTTTGCCGATGATCTTAACAGTAACATCAACAAGAATATTAGTAAACAAGTCTTTAACATCGGAATTGACCGCGTGAGAAGTGAGTGCAATTCATTTCAAGGAATTTTATCATGCAAGTATCGACAATGGCGG